CTTCTTCCCTTCAATCTCATTAGCCAACTCATACAATTTAGCTTGCCTGTAAGCTTCAGATAAGTTCTTAGGCTCTAGCACTTTCACTTTATGTTTTAATTCCTCCTTGAGGCCACTAACAAAACTGGAAACAAAATAATTCTCCCCCAAATGCATGTTCTATTGCAACAAGTAAGGTCTTAATTCCTCAAACTTTTCTTGACACTCCTCCATACTCCTCTTCTATATCAACTTATTGAATTCTTCAATAATATCGTAATAGTTTCTGTCATAAAATCTGACACAAATCAGCCTTAAATTCATGCCAAGTAACCCTATGCTTCTGCATCATGTAACCATCAAACCAAGTCTCAGCTTTCCCAGTTAAATACATAGTAACTATTTCCAGTTTCTGCTCATATGGTATTCCAAACAAATTTAAAAACTTCTGACATTTCCTAATCCAACCCTTGGAATTGTTACCATCAAACATTGGTAACTCCAATTTTGTTCTAGGTAACATAGAACATGTATTCCCAAAAGGGTTTCTGGAATAGTTTATAGTGTCAACATGTTCTTCTCCTCCCACCTTAATCTCACTAGAACTACCCATAGGATTTTCTTCTTGCAACTTCTGATTAAAAGTTTGATGACTAGTAAACCCCACAAGTTTAGAAGCTAATATCCCCGGTTCATTAGGTTGAAAGGTATACTTCTCATACTCACTAAGAACTGTAATTAAACATGGTTGCTTACTTTCATTTTTGTTTTGTTTTGAATCTGCTGGTTGACTCTTTACTGACTGAGGTGAATCTTTTTCCTCAGCTGCCTGATTGATCAGCTGTAAGATTCTCTGCAAATAACCTCTATTTTCAGTTATTCCTTCTTCCAAGGTTTGTATCATTTCTTCCAGCTCTGCTTTCTCCCCAGCCCACCAAGATGGTAAGGTCTACTCCTTAACCTCCACTGCTTGCGTGAAAAATTTGGTTTTAGATCACTAAACTTAGCTCTGATACCAATTGTTATGACTTAGGGTTGATTGTAGAGAAAATGAAAGATTTCAAAAAGAAAGTAATGGGAATACATAAAACGTGTAATCTCATTCATGATGATTTCCTTAGATTTCAGGTACAACTTATATATTCACAAGTACCTACAGCTGTAATTCTGCCAGCAAATCTAACAAACTAACTACTTATTTGCTTATTCATAGGTTACCTCCAGGTGGGCTACACGTGTTGGCCCGTTTCTCATCAACTTCATTCTGTTATGGGTCATTACTTGAGTGGGCCCATTTGGCTAAGGGTTTAATGATATCAGTCTGCTCCTGCAGTCCACCCAACCCAATTCCTTTCTTTGCCTCAACCCTAAATCTCTCAAGTAATACCTCAATCCCTAATTCCTTTTCATTTCCCAATTTCAGCCATTTTTCCCAAATTTCCTTCCTCGAGTAATCCCCAATTCCTTCTGATCAAACCTTAATCTCCATTCCATCATAACATAATAATATTTTTCCTTAAATTAAATAAACCTTAAATATATTAAAATTTTTATATAAAACATCAAATAAAGCATTAAATATGGTTATTTTTAATGCTTTTGTTCTTAAATAAAGTTTTTTCAACTCTCAAAAGTTAAAGGTTATATTGAAGATGCTAATTATTATAAAAAAAGTAGTTGCTATTTAATTTGATGCTCCTGTTTTATATTTTTTTTATCCAATATATATATATATATAAGTGTATATTTGATACACTAGCAATGAAATTTTTTTCTTCACAAGTTGTTTTAGTTATTATCATATTTGTCTTAGTTAATAATTAAACAAGTAAATAGAACACATGACATGACAATAAATTTTAATCACATGTAGAGAAACAATTTAATAGTAAATAATATAACAAGTCAACAATAAATTGTTAGAACATGTATTTTAGCCTCCTCAAGCCATAATAAAACCCCTAACACCATCCTTAGAATAATTAACTTATAAAGACTATTAAAATTTAGCTTGAATTCAAAGTGACATAATTTAATTGAGAAAGTAATAAATCTGATTTGATTAAAAATAGAGAACTTTATGAAAGTTACTTTATCTAAAGTAGATGTTTACTTTATTTAGTTTTCTTTGTAATCAATTATATATCCCTATAAATAGATACTATGAGTTAGGGTTAGAGGTTAGATTGTCCATGAGGACACCTCTTGTATTCTTCTTCTTTTGAAATTAGTGAATTTCTCCTCTTTTGTTTGTAGTTTTTTTTCCCAAAAGGGTTTTCAACATAAAATCTTGGTGTTCATTTAATTGGGTCGTTATATTATAACAAATTGGTATCAGAGTGTTTGGGTTGTTTGACTCGATCACAATGATGACATCTTCAAAGTATGAGAAGTCGTTGGATCGCAACACCATATTATAATTATGAAAGGTAGAGGTATGTAAATTTGCAAGAGCTCTCTTATTCTGTTGAAATGGCAGAGGAAGACTGCCATGTTTTATATTCTACAGGGTTCAACAATTATAAAAGATGAAATACTATGTTCCCCTTCGTGGTAAAGGAGGATTTTGTGTTAAACAAAACAATTATGGACATAAAGATTTTGGGAGTAGAAAAATGTTCTATTCCATGGGCATAACGAATTTGAGAAGAAAAAAAGAGTTCAATTCTATGGGTATAGCAGATTCGAGAAGAAGAAAATTTAGTTCTGTGAGTATAACGAAAAAGATAGAATTACTATTGCTAATTGAGATAGTGTTGTGCATGATATTTCTTGTAGTGAACAAGTTGTGAGCGAAGTTAGCATTTATGATATCCTTACCGATGTGAAGACTAAATCCAAGTTTCGGCAAGCTTTGGATTCAATTAGCAATCATTGTCGAAGAATATCCCTCTATAGGGTTTTGTTGAAGAAGTAAAGAATATGTTCTCAAAGTGGAGAACTTGTTCGTTGAAGGAAGAATTGCTTTTGTTGAGTTTGATTGCCTCATCGAATTTGAGTGTTTTGTCTCGAATCTTTCGCACTTATAGAATTCGTGTCAAGGTGGATATTTGTTAAAGTTTGGCTCAAATTCAAAGTGACACAATTTAAATAGAAAAGTACAGAATTTTATTAAAGTAGATTTGTTACTTTATTTAGTTTCCTTTGTAATAAAGTATTTATCCTTATAAATTAGATACTAAGGGTTAGGGTTAGAGATTATGTTATCCATGAGGGCTCCTCTTGTATTCTTCTAATCTTGACAATAGTGAATTTCTATTATTACGCCCGTGGTTTTTTGCGAAAAAGGATTTTTGACATAAAATCTTGGTGTTTATTTGATTGGACAATAATTATGTACGAACCAACTTACCTTGGTGGTTAAAGGAATCGTTGTTGTTCCTAGAGGTTACGGGTTCGAGCACCAACGACTATAGTAGGGTGATTGAGCACTCATTGTCAAATGGTTGAGAGTATTTAGAATAGATACTACTTTGTAATCATCTTAGCTTAATAAAAAAATATAAAAATAATAAGATAGAGATAAAAAAATTGTAGATTGTAAATTTAATATGTTGAGATATAATTTTTTTTATTAAGCTAAGGTGATTACAAAGTAGTAAATATTCTAAATACTCTCAACCATTTGACAATGAACGTTCAATCACCCTGATGTAATTGTTGGTGTTTGGACTCGTGACCTCTATGAACAATAACGATTCCTTTAACCACTGAGCATAGTTAATTCATGAGAAATATATATATATTTTTTACAAAGAACTTAAAAGAATAAAATTAATAGCATTAACTATGCACTCATTAACTCTCAAATAATATGTAACCTCATCATAAATAATATTAATAAAAAACACATTAAATAATAAAGCACTATTTAAATATTTGTAAAAACATTTAATTATTAACTTAATATAAAATAAAAAATATTTAATAAATTTAAACTCAAAATATTAACTATCAAGAAAAAAGTACAACAATATATCCATTAAAAACAATTATTTAAGGACTATTATTATCCAAAAGGTGTCTGAATTGCAAAAGTGTATTATTTGATATACTAGCAATGAAAGTATTTTTTTCACAAGTTATTTTAGTTATTATCATATTATCTTAACTAATAATTAAACAAAGTAAATAGAACACATGACATGACAATAATTTTTTAATCACATGTAGAGAAAAAAATCTAATAGTAAATAATATAACAAGTCAACAATAAATCACTAGAACATGTATTTTAAATTTATGAATGCACAATTGTTATTTGATGAACATTTGATTTCCATGATTAACATATACAATGACTAATAATCATAAACAACATAACAAATCAAGTTTTATTTTGAGTTAATTTTGGTTTCATCTTTAATTTTTCATGAATTGAATGATATAATGTGTTATGAGACATATCAAACATCAATAGGACATGTTCAACTTCAACATCATTGCAATTGAATTTTCTCATTCAATTCTTAACCAATTTTCATGATTCTTGAGGCATTGCTTTCCTTTGTTAATGTATTATCGAATGAGATGAAAAAAACTGAGATTAAAACTAAGCATTCTCCTAAATTCCACTCAAACCACAATAACATCATGGTGAACCATGGTTTTGACCAATGTTGCTTCAAAATTGAATTTATCACAATTGAAACAACCAAAAAATATGTAAAAATATTCGTTATAAAGCCTATAAAATAAACTACTCAATGGAAAAAATTTCAGAATTTTTCATTAAATATAACTCATGTTATGCTCAAATCAACCGAGACCAAAAGCACACCTCAAATGTTTAAAACATCAAATTCTAGCTCATTCCTCCCTACTCCATTGTTTCCACCCCAGAAATGGTGAACCGTAGATGACGTCTTATCCAACGACCCATATTTAAACTTAAAGACAGACGGAGATCCGCGTGATGGTAATCTTCACCAATCAAAGTTTATCTAATGGGTACCGTCTCTCTCACATTTGTGTATTTAAATCGATCCATTTCAATCAACCTTCTCACATGAAGAGATTACCAGTAAATCTACAGCGTAAGATTAGATACAAAAATCGGCGATTTCTTGATTTCTCCCAAATGGCCGCCGAGGAACCGACAGTCGAGGTAGGCGCAGCGTCGGAGACGGCGGAAGGAAATCCCGGAGAGACCAAAGCCGCTACGAAATCCGGCAGAGCACGGAAAGCTAAAGAATCTAAGCCAAAGAAAGCTGCAGCTCCGAAGAAGCCACGAGCATCTTCTACTCATCCTACTTATGAAGAGGTATTTAATAATTCATGTTATTTTTGTTTCCGACTTTTTATTATGTTTTTGATACATGGTTGGCCGTGTTGCAGATGATAAAGGATGCGATTGTTAGCTTGAAAGAGAGGACGGGTTCAAGTCAGTACGCCATTTCTAAATTCATAGAAGGGAAACAGAAGCAGCTTCCTTGGAATTTCAAGAAGCTTTTGCTCTTCCATTTAAAGAAGCTTGCCGCCGCTGGGAAGTTGACTAAGGTTAAAAATTCGTATAAACTACCTCCGGAGAGCTCTTCGAAGCCGGCGACTACTGTTTCTGCTCCGGCCAAAAAGAAACCAGTTGCTACTAAGGCGAAGTCTAAGCCTGCTTCGAAGGCTAAGGAAGGGAAGAGTGTAAAATCTGGCTCTAAAGCTCCGGCTAAGAAGAACACTCCTAAGCCCAAGAGCAAGCCGGCGGCCAAACCAAAGGCTGCTCCTAAGGCTAAGCCTGCTCAGACGAAGACTAAGGCGGTGGCTTCTGTGAAGCCGAATATTACTCCGGCAGCCAGGTCGAAGGCTGCAGCCAAGCCTAAGGATAAGCCGGTCAAAGCTGCGAGGACTTCGACAAGGAGTACTTCTGGGAAGAAGGCGGCTCCTCCTCCTCCTCCTCCTCCTAAGCCAGCTGCAAAGAAAGCTCCGGCGAAGGGCGTTAAAACGAAGAGTGTCAACTCACCGGCAAAGAGAACCACGACGAGAAGAGGAAGGAAATGAAAGAAAGAGAGGCTAGTCATTATGGGGGTGGTTTTGTAAATTCGAGTGTTGCAGCTTAGTGAATGTATTTGGGTCAATGTATTACCGAGAGAGAAATATGACATCGGATCTTAAATCTGTTCTTTTACACCTTTTTATATGTTAAATTTCCAATTTACCTTTGAAATTTCCCGTTGAATAGATGAAATTAGAACCCTAATCTTTGTCTCGTCTTCTTTCTTTCATCTTTGCTCGTTATTAGGGTTTTATCATTTAGGTTGCTTGGAATAGATTAAAAAAACCGATACCTTGTGGAACAAGTTGCGTGGAACACGGGATGTAAGCTCTTATTTGCAACTGCACTGATTCGAGACATGGAAACTAAGGTTTGAGGTTCTTTTCAAATATTGAAATTCGTATAATTATGTCGAAAATGATAATGATATGAGCTGGCCATTGTTGATCGAATTAATCATGCCTGGTTTAAATTTGACGGGGCATCGAGTTTACTTACTTTCCAAGCAAATTTAAATGCTCTTCATTTATTTGGGACGAGTTCACCTAATTCGGTGGACGATTTAAACATTGGTTGGTTCTAGATTTGAATTGATTTCCATTTCGAGAGTTCTTCCATGAAAAACTTTGGGTACCTTTAGGTTTCAATTGGTTGAGAAGAGATGGGGCAAAATGATTGAAGAGAGGTGGGGAGTAGATATGGTATTTGCATAATCACTTCGCCAAAAATGGGGATTCTTGAAGGTTTGATATGCTTGTACTTGTAAACTTCGAAGTGAGTAAAATTATCAGGCTTGATTTAGGGAGAGATCTTAACTAGATATTGCATTCAGTCTTGATTACCATTAACAAGGGTTGAAAGCTAGCATCCATGCTCTTTCTTTAGTTGTAGTTGTGCATGTTTGTGTTGATGCATGTCTTTAGATTTGATGGTTGTTGATAATATTTGGGTTGGGTAGTTTTAGGTTATTTATCCCTTTTGATTTTCCGATTACGACCAGTATTTTGACGATGGTTGGCCGGTGTTCAGATCTTTTGTTTCCATAGAAATCATGCTCAGTTTGCATTAATTGAATTGTGGATTAGGAATTTATTTTGCTTAAGTTGCTGCTGTGGTTGCTCTTTTTTTCTTTTCTTTAAATTACCCTTTTGGAGTTCCAATATTCAGCTCCACACCTACTGATACTAGCACCAGATTATTTGCAACTATGAATAGGAATATTGTTTTTCAGTTCCAGTGTCTGAACTGAGCTTTGCAAGTGGCAAAAAATCATACACATGCTTCATGATTTCGATACAACCTCGATAGACATTCTTGGTCATAACTAAATAAAAATGTTTGAGACACCTTCTTCAGCTTACAATTTTTGTTGGTGAATATTCGTAAGCTTGAAACTCATATTAGAGCTGTGCCATTGTTTCCACTTTCTGGATGGTAAACTTCAGCTCCTTCTGAATGTCTAATCTAGAAGGTGATAGTACAATGTCTTTCCAAATTGAACCAGCTTCACAAGACGGGTTAGGATGCTTGTAGAGTTCGTATATGGACTCGGCGTCTTCGTTCAGCCTCGCCACCTGCTTCAAACAGTCGATCTCATCTGGATCAACTAGCAAGGTTCTTTCTCTGTCTTTCCATCCTATCAACTTCACGAAAATTGTTATGTTAATGTTACATGTTTGGTTGCATGGAGTAATTTTGCTAGCAATGAAAGTTCCTGCTCAATTTTATTTGTTTATTCATGCATGCTGTAGCTATGGACTATTTTCTCTTCCTCCTAGATTTTAGTTCTAGGGCTATAACGTAGTAAATGTAGGTTTCTGAGTTTTCCTCCATGAAATTTGATGATGGAATAAATGGGATACGAAAGTTATAAGTGGTTCACCTCTTTTAGTTTAGGTGAAAAACCGGTGTCAGTGGAGGAGAGGCCATTTGTTGGTATCTAAGTCCGTAGAGAAGGATTGAATGATGGAGGATATTGAGTTCCATCCCTTCTCTCGATCTTGATCGAGAGGCTTTATATTAACTCTTAGTGTTGGTGTCAGTCGTAGGGTAATTATAGCTATCCATAGGTTGGCAGTCTAAGTGGATATGGTTAGTTGTCGGTAGATTTAGTTCTGGTGGGTCACGTGAGCCTGTAAGAGGTAATGTCGAAAGGTCGTGAATTCCCAAAGTATATCAGGTGTTTGAGATCCTTTCTCCAGAGAAGGTACAACAAACTTCTTCCATCTTAGTGATTCAAGATGGGCCATCCTGATATAATGGGGCTCTGTTCTAGCTGTTCTGACCTTAGGTTCCCAGAGCTAAAATTCTGTAGTGAACTTCTAGTTTTATGCCACTAGAGAAATGAAGATTGAAAATGTTGGTTAGTTTATTCACCTTAGGTGGACCTTCAAGAACATTGGTGGAATATAGCCTAGCATTGTCAACCAGTTGGCAGTATGTTGGAAATGCATTTGCAAATCTCTTGTGGGATTTCAACTGTGATTTCACCCTTACAGCTCGTCTACACATTATAGCTCTCCTGTAGATATTGAATCCTTTGATAAAATCAGTATCTCAGGTAAAGGGTAAAGGACATATTCTAGTTGGTTGAAGAGGAAATAGGCGTCGCCGTACCTTATGCCTCTAACAACCGCTAAATAGGCATCGCAAACAACCCCGACCAGCTCTATTCTGTATGGCTTCCTCTTTTTACCACCTTTTGGAGATTGATCTCCTCCTTCAATTTGTTCCCAGTAATTTTCAATTACAGTCCCATCAGATCCTTGCCTGTAACCAACCCCCATACGATATCGCCGGCGGTGGACACATCTGGCCATAGTTATTGTTTGCAGTACAAATGGTATCCAGGAGAGTGTTCCATCCATGATCACATCCCGCCCTTCGTTGAGTGCTGTCACGAGTAGGGATGATGCTGCATCTGTGGATGATTGGTGCACCTGTTTGGAATGGAAACCAAGTTCCAGGTTGATGTTACCAAAACAGATACATATTTCGGGAAGGGCTGCTACTGAAGTTGATAAGGCTGAGAAAGTGATTCTTACCAGTTCGGCTGTACGAACCATGTCTGCATGGCCTTTGGAGCTGAGGGCTCTGTATATGACATCTGATTCTTTGAATGCATCTGCCTCGATCACAACTGCATTTGCTGCTGCGCCTGCCCAGAATGGTCTGCCAATATTTCATGCACAGCACTTGATGTAAGTTCCTTGTAATTGCTCATAGCTAGTAATAATTAAACTTTCTAGACCAACTTTACTTGTGCAGGAACAAAAGGAGACTAATTGTCTTCCATGTTACCCTATGTGTTATACATCTTTTTCAGTACTTAAAATATCCTTTGATCTTAAATACAGGTGTGGGACGCAGGCTTACTCTTTGAGAATGTCCTTAAGGACCGTACTCTTTCCGGCTCCCATCCCGCCTCCCATGAATAGCAGCACTGGACTTCTATCACTGTGAGCCACCGGAGCCATCACCTCCGTACATTGAGAATCATCGGATGAGGTATGCCCCATTGCTTTCATTTCTTCAACCAATGTATTGAAAACTCTAGCCACCTTCAGGTTTTTCGTCACCCTCTCGAATCTCTGTTCCCTATATTAGAAAACCAAAGTCTCTTTTGTCGAAATTAGTATTACTAGTCAGCGACAACAACAATGGTTAGAGACTATATGTAGGCTACTTTTTCAAGTTTTTAGAACCCCAAGTTTCTTTCTGTGGAAGGATATAGCTAAAGTGACAATAAAATTGATTAATAAACAGAATTTGCCCAACCTAGTTGCTGCCATGAAAATCTGCTTGAGCTTTTTCTTGGGTGCAGCATCAGCACTTAATACCTGAAACAATGTGGCATAAAACAAGTCGCTCTATGTGGCATAATACATACATAACATACATACATATATACTGATTACCTGAGTGATCATGATATCTGCATGGCTCCAATGAAATGCAAAATAACTTAGTATGAATCTCTCAAATTCTTCCACAAGCTTAACATACTGCGAATCCACATCAGGCTCATTAGCAAAATACGAATATATATCGTCTTCGCAGCTTTCGCATTTCCTGATGTATTCGACTGCTAACTTGCAGAGCAATGGACAACTTCTTTTATCTTTCAATCCCATCTGTCTTGCTGAAACAGAGATGAAAAGAATGTCAAAGGTGCAGCAGGTAAATGAGACCAGGACAAGGCATGGGATCAAATATATTACCTACGTAGTGAGGGAAGCTTTCGATCATTTCGAGGCGACCCCAGCTCGTCTTTCTCGATCTCAGGTGCGGAATGAGCTTTTGATCCTTTCGTTTCTTTACATGATACCGCACCGCTGCTGCAACGATGATGCTGACCGATGAAGCAACCAGGATCTGTAAACATTGAAAAAGCCATCGAATGAATGGTTTACATGCATACATACATACACGTATATGAAATGTGTTTCTGAATGAAATAATTGTTCGTTTATTACTTTATCCCTCTGCATGCCTTGGAATTCAAGAAACAAGAACTGTGTTCGAAGTCTGAATCTGATGATTTTTCTAAAACGAGAAACAAAATTTCCATAACTCTTGGCCTTGAAGCACGTTCATCGTTAAATCTGTAAATCTGTTTGGAGGATAGATGGTTTCATGGATCTTCGTTGAAACCAAGACCCAGCACTGACACATGTAATAACCTTATTTCTTGCCAAGCCTAAACATAGTACGTGCATCAATTTTTCATATTGCCTTTTTTGGGAAAAGCTCAGTAAAAATTATTAAAAAAAAATATTTAGTTTTTACTTTTTGTAATTTATATTTATGGTAATTAATAGGACTAAAATTAGTACTTGTGATGACCCGACCCAGGATCCCTAACGGCCCTTGATCTTTGATTGCCACCTTCATGTAAAGGTCAATAGATTAGAATTAGTATTTGTCGTCCCACCAATCTATGAATAACCATCATAACCTTAGGTCTCCGACACTACGAGTCTGTGTATAAATTCACATCCATGACTGGAGGGGTGAATCACCAAAGATCACTACAATCATTATTTTCCCACCAACAAGTACGCTTTAGTCTTTATAAAATTAATGTCAATTAATCTACTAGATTAACATTTATCCATTATAGAGAAACTCAACAAATGTATTTCCATATTATGTGATACTGTCCGACTAGTTAAGTCAGGTCATAGTACATAGTCGTTGCAAAATTTGTGATTCATGCTAGAAATAATGCACTAATAATCCAATAATTATTAAGAGTAAACAGTATTATTGTACATAAAGTCTGAAACAACAAAGTAGTCCAGATGTTGTCGAGCTTTCAAAGGCTTTAAAAGAAATTGAACGGAGGATCTTCCAGAGACTTTGAGAGAACTTATGCAAAGGACCCTTAATAACCCGTGTACCTATTTTCACATGCTTGTACAAAAATTGAACAATTTTATAGTAAATAGACCGTAAATAATTAGCATGCGCATATTAAGGGCAACACACTCGATACACATTGTTCGACAAAACAGATTACTTAATCCCACACTATAAAGAATTCCTGGATACGTTAAGCCCGGTAAAGGAACCTAGAACTGTATTCTGTAGAGCAGGTGTTGGGATTCCACTGCGATGGCGCTCTTTGGCTGATTATCTAATGCTATTTACCCGTGAAAAAAATATTTAAAGAATGAGCTACTAAAGCCCTGTAATGAACAAATATTCCGAGGGAATTCACATAGTATAAGCTGAGCATAATTAACATTTGCATGCATTGGAATTTCTCTATGGCATTTACAATATAAATTTATACTCATCCATATGACAGAACTATTCATATCACTTAATCCACCCAAGATTTTCTAAATCTCAATCGGGGTTTCTATGCGAGCCATTCGAAATAATATGATTAGATGTTTCAGTGCGAGCCACCCAAAAAACATGATTAGGTGTTCTCGTGCGAGTTACTCTAATCTTTTGAGACTCTCATACGAGTCACCTGAAATAACATGATTAGTTACTCCCGCGCGAGTCACTCTAATTCTTTGAGACTCCCGTGCAAGTACCTGAAATAACATAATTAGGTCATTAAATAAATTAACTTTCGTTTCCCATTGGTTCATTGTCCATCCCATTAGTTCATTCGTACGAGCCCCCTTCTTAATTTCCAATTATTGACCTCAAAATTTTCACAACATTCTTGCTCCTTAGTATTGATGCTGAGATAGGAGTATCGGTACCACACTTACCCATGTACTGGTACTGAGTTGGGCACCGATATCAAAATAGCATTTTGAAATTTCAAAACTACTTTAGTTAATGTTGAGTATCGATATCATCCCTTTTGGTATCGATACCCACTCATTGGTATCGATACTGGGAAAAATAGTATCGATGCTGTTTTGAAATTTTTACACGGATTCTCAAGAAACCATTATGGTACCAATACTCTTCTAACAATATCGGTACTACTATGATTCATATTTTTTATACCAATACTCAAAAATAAATCCAACGATTTTAACCTTCTAGAAAGCACCGATTCTAGCTTACCATGACCCAATCACCACTATATGCAATCACAAAGAATAAATGTTTGAACTTAGCAAAATAGTTGATTGTACAACTCCATTTTCTTCAAGTTTTATCCTTCCGTTTTTCATTTATTCCCCAAATTTCTTCATCTCATGAAAAGATTAAATCAAAAAGGATTCATAAAAGTTGACCCTAACAACATATAGTTTAATCTTTAACTCTCATCCTTTGTTTTATCTCCCATAACCAAACCCATTAGGTCTTACCATATCTTTCTCCTCAAAGCATGAAATTCTTTCTAAAATTTATATAACTAGAAAAAAAAATCATTTCTTTTGGAAGGAAAGAATTTCAAGCTCACTTAAAAATACTTTTTTGTCAACTTATTTTCAAAGATATGAGATTAAATGAAAGACAATAATTGAAGAGATTAAATAAAATTAACGAACATGCAAGCTAAGTGGATGGTCATAAGAATTACTTGAAAAAATAAAGCTACAAGCAAACATTTAATCCGTTTAATCTGTCTTTAGAACATCAGCAAACAAAATTTTGTTGAGAAAAATATATAAAATGGCCTAAATTTTTAGTAAGCTCTACGGTACAAACATTACATGTCACCCATATCGTGCGAGTGTGCCCCAATATCGAATATGATTGATTTGCACCTCATTTTGACTTGCCCATTCATTAATCAATATATCGGTTATACCTTATAAACACTTTCAAAATCCTGTACTCTTTTCATTCATCACTTAATCATTTTGAGTATATGCATTGTTTTAATGTTCTCATTAAATAGAATGCTTAATACAAAAATAAGCGTTTAAACTATACTCAAAATTGACTTTTGGTGTCTAAAGATTTTTTTTTTTGTTAAAAATAGGTGCTTAATACTTTCTCCTTACATTTTTAAGTGCATACCATTAAAAAACCGTTAAATGACACGTGTCACATTTATAGTTATATTTTTTAAAAATAAAATATTATTTAAAAATATATAATTTAAAAAAATCTAAACGTGACACGTGTTGTCTAACGGGTTTTTAACCGTAGTCACTTAAAAGTGTAATGGAGAAAACATTAGACACATATTTTTAAGAAAAATTCTTTAGACACCAAAAAATTAATTTTGAATATAGTTTAGACACTTATTTTTATATTAAGTTTAAATCTAACATAAAACAGTAATTTTATTACTCAAACTTCCAACTTGACAAATAAATAATGTCTCAAAGTGCTAAAAAATTCATTATTTTCCAGCTCATTCGTTTCTTATTCAACACTTATACTATAACCTGCATAGTAAATGGTGCAGATTAGAGCTAGGCTTGTCATGAAACAAATTCCATGCCCAAAAAAATGTCATCGTCGTTGGTACAAATCTTGTTGAATATGGAAAGTGGGGAGAACTATTCTCTCAGATTTGGATGGCATCATAATTATACAACAATAGGCAGAGACGACAACAATATTCAAAAGAAGACAAGTCTAACACCTACCCTAATCACCTAACACCCTAAAAATCCATTGAAGTTTGGATCCAAAACCTTTTCTTTTTGTATCGTTCACCAATTCTGTCCTGCAAGTAATGGAAATTTTATCAGTCTTCAGATGCCATACCGGTAAGGACCCACTACTGGAGAGGACAACCCATGGCCATGACTGCTGTCAAAAGTTCGTTGCCTGTACCATCTGAAGTTAAGGCATAGGCTTAAACGCTAGGTTTATGTTCAGTGGTCGGCGCGTTTTTCATAATAGTGGGGGGTCCTTATATTGTTTAATCTTTTCAACAGATTATATTTTATATACTTGGGCCACGTATATGACCAGTTTTCACTTTTTTGAAATGGAAGATGTATATTCGTATACTTATGGCGTCAAGAATTAAGATCGTTCATAACACATTCCAGTACATCAAAAATAAACTAAAGAAAGATTAATCCTCGACAAAGCTCATTGAGTCAAAATGTAGGCAACTTAGTTAACCTCTCAAATAACGTAGTTCACCTTGAAATTTGAATTACCGGTCATAATTATTCGCATTTCGTCGATCATCAATTAAATCACCAAAATGTCATCTCTCAAGTTGAAACGTTTAACAATGAAAATAACAATGAAAGTCGGTGGATGATAACACCTCAACCAATTTAGCCGAGTGCAGGCCATCAAGTCGCCTTGCCATTCATGCCACAACCATTCAGCGCTAGTCTCGAGCAATAATGCCATTAACGGTTACACCCGAGTTGGGTTGGAAAGTCCCATCAACATTAATTTTAAAGCTCTAAGTTGGTGGAGGTTTCCATTGTTTCCTTTGCCTTCCGCGAGTTGTGTTAAGGTGGTTGTCAAGACCTCATTTGCTTCTTTAAATCTGTTCCGAAGAGTCATATCGCATTACTGACATCTCTCAAACTTTATTGTTCCCCGTTGTACACTCATTTGTTACGTTGATTCTAAATGTTCCAGATGAGCTTGACAAGCTTTGAGAAACCTTCCCGATCCAATTTCCCAGGAGCAGCTCCGAGCCACAATTTGTAGTTTATTGATTGATCAACACATCTTTGGTCCAACCCTGACAACAATAGAATTTTTCGCGCCTTAGGACACTCTTTAATGGCATGAATGATAGTCTCAGCATCCTGCGAACAACGAAAGCATATCCTCAATCCTAAACTCGCTGCAGCTATTTTGTTTCTAGCTAGCAACACCTCATTGTAGACCGCAAACATAATTTTAGCGGCGTTTTTTTGTCCTATAACGACCTTTTTAAGCGTCGCTAGAAGCACTTGCGGCGATAGGAAAAACGCCGCAAGAAGCGCCGGCCATACCAGTGCCGCTAAAGTTAACGGCGTTTGAGAACAAAAAACGCAGCAATAGGCCAAGATCTATCGCGACGTTTTTAGAATAAACGCCGCAAAAGGTCAATATCTATAGCGGCGTTTCTGGAACAAACGCCGCAAAAAGTCATGATATATAGCGGCGTTTATGAAACAAACGCCGCAAAAGGTCATACCTATAGCACCGTTTTTGGAACAAACGCCGCAAAATGTCAGACCTATAGCATCGTTTTTGGAACAAACGCCGCAAAAGATCAGACCTATAGCGGCGTTTTTGGATACAAACGCCGCAAAAGGTCAGATCTATACCACTTCATAAAAATGTAACAAAATTATTATTTGCCACCAGGCTCTAGGGAAGCTGCCTCCACGAACCTACCAATCATTATATGTTAGACTTTTTCTCAGTTTTAGCATGTGTGACTACTCGATCTAACAACAACAATATGCCAAAAAAATCAAATTGAAAATGTACAGACTATTCTTTTATGCCTGGACTGGATCATTGCCCGATTTGTAACAACTTTTTTATTGATCAATGTTCAAACTTCCATTTCAAAAGGAGTGTTCCACATTAATCCCAGTGGGAGGAAAAGGAAAAATTGATAAGGAAAAACAACCTGTATATAAGAACATATTATCCCCATACCATATTCTAAGATAGAACATAGCTCTCGTTAAACTTTTAAACTTTAGGAGCTAGCGTCCTCTTCTTTGTTGCATGCTGAAAAACTTTTTCTTCAACAGGCAATCCCTTCATCCGCCTAACAGCATTAATGAGCTTTCTTTCTGTATTTGGAAGAACACTAGAACCATCACCAAATTCTTCTATCGCCTCGATAAAGTATTTCTAAAAAAATCAATGACAGTAGCAATGAGTTTAAAACAATGGTAAAAACGGATTCCATGAAAACAATATATTAGCGTATAGAAATGCATTGCAAGTATAAAGAATAATTAATATATGAATAGAACAATAGACACTCACATCATCTTCAATAACCACCTCCCATAACAGTTAATGGAACTGGCTAGGGTCCCAACTCAATCTCGTAGGCTTTTGCATTTCTTCGACAACAGTTTGAGCCAACAAATCCTGGATTGACATGAGAGAAATATACAATATCTCAACCTATAAAGAGTAGGGCAAAGAGTAAAGCAGACAATATACAAAATAAAGGGGTTTGAAATTCACCTGATGACTTTCAAATTAGGGATTGTATGAACATCCAGGAGCAGGGTCATCCACTGCAGGAATAATAGACTGTTGAGACACCCGTCTAGATTTAGCCCCATCTCATAAATTTGGTTACTGCATGTTCCATGAAATCCAGCACACTGAAACTATAAAGCAGGATGTTATGGAATATGCAAAAGCAAAAAGTAATGAAAAGGGCCATATATGTTGGCCAAAACAAAAGCAATTTTGTTATGATCAACATGTGAATACGCTGATTATACAACCAGACTGAATTAAAAGGGTGAATGTAGAGATTATCAGAATTTTTAGGGCTTTTTTAGCTTTAAAGATGAAATTCCAAGCAAAAGAGCCTCTTGTATCGTGTTGGGTATTTAAGAAATCAAAGTTAGCAAAATACTTAGTAGAGAAAACCTTGAAAAGAAGTGAGTCTCGATAGTGAATAAATATCTAAACTTATTTTCCTAACAAGGCCAAGTTGAAAAAATTTAAATCTCTATCGTTTTTCTCTACATATATACTTTGTTCCATGCAATATGTGGCCATCCTCAAGCATTGTGTTTCCCCTGCCACCAATTGTTAGAGTATGCCCAAAGACAAATCATATGATGATTGTAATAATACATTTATTTACCAATTTTATTGAATAAAGGCATTACACTATTATTTTCAGTTATATGTATGTGTTTAAAATAAAGTGAAAGATAATAAAGTTCATATAATAACATTATTATTATTATTATTATTAAAAGATCCGTAGTTAAGTATTATTATGGGCATGGACAATAATAATACGCTTAAGACTAACATTGCTCATGGTGATGACTATATGTATGATCCTCAGACTTGAGATCAATGTTATCCCAACATATATTGTTGTATGTTTTGATACAGTTAAACATGCTCCGCAACTGGTTGCACTATAAAGACCGTTATTGAATATATCTCGATATATGTAGTGGGGTGTGTATGATTAAGATAAGATTTGTCCTTCCTACATAATAGGAAATATATCATAGGCCACTTGATTGAGTGAAACTAGAAATGCATAGCCATTCTTGAATAAGTTGATATGAGATATCACAAATTATTCATCAATTATAGTCTACTCTAAATATCAAGAAACAATAGATGGGCTATACAAGTGTGAATATTTCAAGACTTGTGCCTATTCTAAATATAAAGGACAAAAGGATGTAATACATAAAAGAGTTAATCATGAAGATGATATTTTGAATCATAATTTCTTGTAACTTAGGTGACAATGATATATTGCTAGATGTCACTCATTGTATGTAATATTAGAATTATTCTAATAATTACTACTAACGTTACAATAACCTACAAGGTCATACCCTAGGATTGAAACGAGTAAAGATGTACAATTTATTGTATGTTACTAACATATATCTAGGGTTAATATATGTATATTTGATATATATATGATTTTAATTATCCCGAATATAGTAAGTAAACATTAAAAGAAGGTAATTCCGATTATAACTATTTTAATCGATATTTAATTCAGATAATTAAATAAGAGTTTAAATAAATGTTAAAGATTGTAATTCACATTATAAGTCTTTAATGGATATATAATTTGAATTAATTAAATAAGATTTTTAATTAATTCGAAATAACTTAAAATCCCTAATATGTTAGGGTAACTGATATATTTAAAGTGATGAAAGGTCTAGCAATCGACTTACTTCTTCAACCATTTTTCTCAAAACTATTTTTGGGAAAAATAAATTTTGCTCTCAATCGGGTGAATTGAGTAGAGGTCGAGACGTGGTTTCGTGGAGGCTTACGAATTGAACCGTTTGTGATCACCATTAGACTCTGTTGTTTTTGCTATTTTTCAAGGACCCCATCCCTTAGAAAGCTAAACATGCCCATCTTGTACTTACCCACAATGGGGGTTAGACCTAGTTAATGTCTGTGGATTGACCTTTTCACACACTCCCAAGGTTGTCATAATCTTTCTTCGATTTTCTTATTGTGTATGCGAGCCAAAACAAATTATTGACTTGTCTTAGTTAAATTTTTTTAACCGGAGGTAGCTTAAGAAATGTTAAGCATATCTTTTAACCTTATCGTCTCATGATTCAGATTCTTGATGAAGAGCATGTTGTCTTCCACATAGAGTAGGTGATTGACTCTTAGTCCATGTAAGCTTGCTCAAACCCCCTTGATGTTGTTGATCCTTTGTTCAATAAGAAGGGTAGCTGATAATCCTTGCACATAAAAGAGAAAAATATAAGGAGACAGATGGTCTCCATGCCTTAATTTATGTTTCATTCTGAAGAAACTTGAAAATTTTCTTCAAAACCCATTTCCCTCGTAACACCCTTGATAAAATTCTACTCATTTCTATCATAAGTTTTTTTTATATCCAATTTGAACAAAGGTTGTTTTTAAAACCTTTGAGATAATTGATTAATTCGTGAGTAACAAGGAAATTGTTAGAAATATGTGTAATACCCTAATTTTGTCTGGGCAATTTAATTCATTTAAAGATGCTTGAGAATTAATTTGGAGGTAATCGTGCTCAAATGAGAATTTAATTCAAATGATGAATGGAAGCTTGTATTTTGGGGACAACATGAAAATCAAGAAACTTTTGTGCTTAATTGGATTGATATCGTATATGTTTCATTTTGGAGATCGAGATACAAATTGAAATTCAACCCCAAATTAAGTGTTTAAAGTCCACTTATAAGTCCAAAATAGATTACAAATATTTATGGACCAATTACAACCCAAATTAATTACAAGCTCAAGACAAACCCGAGCACCCCACGTGAAGGCCTTGTTCTGCTCCATAACACCCGGTCACTAGTTGTGCAAATCTCTCCCACGTGATGCACCACAATTGATCAGCATCCATGGCTCCCACGTGGATCATTCCAACAACAACCCCCAGAAGCCCATGCTGCTCACGCGTGGAGACAAGGTTCGACTCCCGAACTGCTGCCCATGCTCCGCTACGACATCATCCAACCTCGATATGGAACACCACGCCTTACTCCATTCACCAGAACTGAGCAGCCCGGTTCCCCAATGCCACTAGCACCATAGTCGAGCAACCTGTGCCCATACTGCCTGTCACCCACAACCAAGCACTTAACGTGAAACTCCATAACAGTCACCGGCCCTGCAAACAAACATTATTTTAGCAAAATCCAAGGTTTGGGGCAGTGGGAGGAATCAATAAAGTTATCAGTCATAAAAGATACAAAACAGGGGGTCACGGGCAACGGGGAGGAGTACAGAAAGCAACACACAAAAACCAGAGAACGAGGAGCCATCAAAAGAGAAAAGGAGGAAAAAAAAAGATAACGAGGGAACCCGAGAGCAACTGTGGACCTTTTTTTTAGCAAAAAACGCAACCAAAGAAATCCATGAGCAGAACCAACAAAAAGGAAAACCAAAGAACTGATCACCAACAACCATCGGTGGAACCCAGAAACACAGATTAGAGCAATCAACGCCAATCAAAATTTCAGAGAGCATAACAATACAGTCCTTACCTTCCTGAGTTGAAGAGGAGAACCATCACCCTTGCCCGAATCCCGAACACCGTTGGGTCGTCGAGGGTAAGATTTCACCTCTAGACTACTGTTGTTGCATGAGTTGGGGTTTATGAGGCTCAGTTCGTCTTAAAAGTGAGGGTTTCCTTAGGTTTTGGTTGAACCGTGAGGCTAGGGTCCTAGGAAGGGAAGCAGTGAGGGGTATTGGAGGAGTTGGTTCCTCGTCGGAGCCCAGGGGGAGAACCCGCGGTGGCCGTGAGTTTGGTTTTAGTGGGGGGTCGAAAATCTTTTAGATCCTAGGCTTTGGGTTTCCTCGCCTGAACGTTTTATCGGGGCCGTTTGGGGAAGGGCAACCATGGTGGTTGCCCTGTTTGGGTTTGAGAGTGAAACATTGAGGAAGGGAGAGAGTTTGGAGAGAAAACGGCTGGGGCGAGGGTTTTCTGGTTTAGGCTGAGTGAAATAATGAGTTAGGGTTCCAAAGTTTACCCTAAAATCCCATATATTCATACGTCCAAACGACGCAGTTTTGAACGGTTCTAAAACGGCAGCGTCTTGATAGCTGAGGGGAATCCGTGTTTTGGGATGTTTGGGGGAAACTGCGCGTAAGGTCTATTAGGTTTGATCTGTCTCATTTTGGTCCCTAAATCGAGCTTTCTTGGGGTTTCAATTTTACCTCCTAACTTTTGGCGTGTTTCATCTTAGTCCAGAACCATGTTAGGGCCATTTTGATGTTGTTTATGCATTGGATGTGTAATTTTGAAAACTTTTAATGTGGTCCTATGTAGCACTTTGGTTGTATTGTGTTTCGAGTACCAAGAAATGAAATGTTTATTAAAACAGCCTGTTGTTTATTGTTTTTTATATTTTAGTCCCTTTAATATTTCATGTATGTTTGTTAGGTTAATTTAGAATTATTTTTAAGTGTATGCAAGTGGGTATTATTTTGAGCATGTACTTCGTACGAACGTACTTAGGCGTATTTCTTTTTAAAGCATGTTGACCTCATTTACTTTAATCGCATGTTGTTTTTCATGTATTATTTATTAGTTAGATAATTTTTAATATTGTATGTTACCCTCATGTGCGTGACCCTACGTCGTTACATAATCTGATTAAGGGTAATACCCTTTTAATTTAAAACTATTGAAATAGATTCTCTTAACTTACTAGAGGGTCGTTTTGACGATTTTAAATTAAAAGTTTATCCCAACAGTGTCACCAAAAGAATTGATTAATCATTTTAAAATTTGGGAATGAAAGAAAAAGAAATATTCGGCTATTTAAATTATTTGAGAAAAGATCGTTAGAACTCACCTAAAGATCTGGTCTCGATATTTTTACATAATCGAATATCCTTTATCTTTCTAATGACTCGGTAATTTTAAATTAACATATTTTGTTGCTTTTCAATGTTACCAATTTGCACTTTTATTGTTTAAAGGGATCATTAATCAAATTAAACTCGAACTTGTGAAATTCGTTGCAAAGACATTAATTAATTGACTAGGTACCGATTTAGGGCATTGTGGGGGTGCTAATCCTTCCCCACGCGTAACCGACTCCCGAACTCAGATTTTGATAACGCAGACCTTAATTTGTTGTTTTAATTAAAATTAATTTTTATTTAAAATGACAACGTTTTTGGGTGCCTAATCACACCCTAATCAAAGATTGGTGGCGACTCCTTGAACCTTATATTTTTATCATAAAGGAATTTCCAATTTTTTCGAAACGAGAGATTTTCTAAAATTGCATTGTTTTTAATTAAAAATTCAATTGAAAAGAGAATAATTAAAAATGACGCGGTTTTCCAAAATCTCTCTCCCCCACCGGTTAAAAATCGTTTCGACAGCTTGGCGACTCTGCTGGGGACTTTTTAGAGAGTCAGGCCTATAGTCGATTAATTAATTATCTTTGCAAACGAAAGTTGTAAGTTCACTTTAATTTGATTTTTGATCCCTGATTTGTTTTAAATTGTTGTTTGCATTTTAATTTGCGTTTTAATTAACAAATAAATAGTTGTACTAACGTGTGATTTACATGTTTCAGTTTTTTGACCTTCACTTTAGTTTGTTGTGTTTCTTGGATCGAGGGAAAGGATTATAGGTTTCTCCTTTACTGTCGCAACAACCATTTTGATATTTAGAGCCTTCTAACTGTGCTCTGTCCCGTTAGGTAGGGGTGAACGCTACGCTTACGTGAGAAAAATTACTTTTCTCCGCATGGGCTTTAGCAAGTAACCTCTGGGGTACATTCCTTATGTTTACGAGTGAAACATTGAGTTTCCTCGCATGGACATAGGGAAATGTATCCTCTTGAATTGAACTTGATCCGTTTTAAGCCTATAATGGGTGAGGATCGAGGGTCTGGTAAGCCCAAGGGGGCACCAGCAAAGGACAATTCGAGGACCCTTTTTAGTGATACCGAAACTCTGCCCGTTTTATACTGAATCTCTTCCGTGGTTCTTCAAAAGTCACAGAGGGGAAACTCATTCTATCCTTTTTCCTCAAATTTATTTATTTTTGCAAGAAGTATGAGAACTAGAAAAACATGCGGTTAGGTTTTATATGAAGCCTGCGAACTAGATATCATGCGATTAGGATTTTCTGTGAATAACAAAACATGTGGGTAGATATCATGTTGGGTAGGATCTGTTAAAGCATGATTGGGTAGCCAGCATTTGAGGGTAGGTTTTATTTGATGTTTACTTTACCTACTATTTTGTTGTTTATCTTATGTGTACTAACCTGTGTTTGTTCTATGTCTATTTTATTTTGATTTTATTGCATTTGCATCCTCATGTCATCAAGGGGTATTAATTCGCAAGTGATTGACAAAGAAGAAGGCTGAACATATTGTGGCAAGAAATTCTCCACTATGTAGTCAAAACCGGGAGATCCAGAGACGTTCAAACGATCCATGAAGGAGGACATCCGATGAACGAAGAGATCTGAAGCTGATTGAAGAATTCCTTTAAAGCTGCAAAGGCCAAGATGTTGACTCAAGGGATAGATACAATCATACCAATGACGAGAAGACCCTTCATAACAACATGAAGACCACTTCACATTGGAGATCCAATGAAGAGTACGACTCAAGGAAATGAAGAGATGAAGAACCGCAGTTGAATTTTGACTATATGGTGTACTTACTGAATTCTTGTTGTCTAAGTGAACGGTTGTTCTTAAGTGGTCAATTTTGGAATTAACACCTCGTGCATTTGCATTTGCATTTGCATTTTGCATTGCATGTATTTGTTTAAGTATTTTACATGCATTAATTATGAAAACCTGGAAATAACTTGTGGGAGGTTATGTGACAGTAATAACAAGATCATTCATTCATACTAATTCAACATCATCATGGAAGCAATGGAGCAATCTAATCGGGAATCGCAAGATCAGTTGCAAGAACAGTCGTTCGAGTTACAACAATGTACTAGGAATCAAGCATCGGTTTCTCTGCAAGGCGCATCGAATCAAATGGTCCAGGTGTTGGCACCACGAACCGTTGGCAAAGAAACGATGGATGATAAAGGAAATCAATGGCATCATACTAATGCATCAAGAGTGATAATTTGCCCCGGAGCATCTAACTTAAACCAAGGGAAGAGCCTCGTCAATTATGGGCAGTATGAGAACGAATTCAAGTGGTTGAATGAAGCCGTTAACAGTATGAGGGTTGCTAATGCCACTCACAAGGAGTTAGAAGCCCGGGAACTCAGTTTGGTCCCTGATTTGGTCATCCCCATGAATTTAGAGTACCTAATTTTGAGAAATATGATGGCACCAGTTGCCCCCTACTTTATCTGAAAATGTTTTGCAGAAAAATAGAAGGGTACTTAGATGATGATAATCTGTTGATCTATTACTTTCATGATAGTCTTGCTGGGCCAGCTGTGGTGTGGTATAACCGGTTGAACAAAGAGCAGATCAAGACGTGGGTCAATCTAGCTGATGCTTTTCTGGGGCAATATCTATATGTTAAAAGCTTAGCCCCAAAGCGTCATCACCTTCAAAAGATAAGAATGAAAGCTACTGAGAGCTTTAAAGAATATGCCCTGAGAAGGAGAAGAGTGGCGGCACAAGTTCAACCTCCTTTGCTAGAAGAAGAAATATCATATATATTTCATGATTCTCTCCCAGCTCCCTACTTTGAGTTAATGTTGGGAAATTCGATGAATGGCTTCAAGGATCTTATGGTGGCTGGAGAAGCAATTGAAGATTCAATCAGTAAAGGAAACTTGAAAGTCACTTCCAAAAGCTCAAGAAATGAAGAGCGAAGAGCTGATGAGGTGAATGAATGTCACGTCCATAGCTCCCACAATCGTAAGAGAAAAGGGGCAGCTGGTTACTCGAGTCGTCCAAAGAAGGTCCCACGATCGAAAAGTACTTTGAAGGTGTTTCCAATTCCTATCTCAGAGTTGTACCCACATTTGATTAAATTTCAACATCTCAAACCGAAACCAATGAAATTACAACCAAACCCTTATGGCCACAATTACGATCCAGATAGTGTCTGTAATTTCCACTTAGAGGCATTGGGGCATGCTACGGAGAATTGTAGGATGTTCTTCAAGGAGATAGAGAGGCTCGTGGAAAATGGGAAGTTGACACAAGAATTGGTGGAACAATGGATGACGAGCTCGAGTGGGGCACCAGAGCACAATGCGTAGCACCCGATCGAATCAAACATCACTGCATCAGAAGAATAATGGGAGCATCCTGACAGCGCATAAATCCTTTTGTTCATCATGAAACATTTTGTCATTTGCAACATCTTGTTTGAACATGTTTTTATCATTTTTCTCAACTTTTTGAAAAGGATTTTTAAATGAACTTACGTTATTTTCCAAAGGTCATGAGCAATGAATCAAGTTTTGATCTTGTAATTTTTTTTGAGTTAAAGGTTGTTTTACTGCTT